ATTTGTTTTAAAATTTGAGCAATTGTGCATGTTACAAAAAACCCAAACACCTTATAAAAGATAATTTCTGGTTTGATATTTTATTTGTGTAATTACGTATTTTCTTTGTACAGGTGATGAGTTTTGTGACAGTCCAGTCTGTGAACATCATGACAGACATCATGTTACTGAGTCTCCTTCTTATTCCAAGTGAGCCGTCTCATTACAGTCATTTACAGTCTGACAGATCAGTGCAGATAGAGATAAGTTAAGTGAAACATTGTACACTGAAGGTGTGGACAGAACAGGAGAAAAAAGCAAACCCATGACACTTAAAGTCAGTTTTGTAAATATGAATTTTCTCTTCATTTAGATTTGCACATTTTAATTTTGTTCTCTGGATTCCCAGACTCTTTGGCCGCTTGTCCTCAGGATTCAAACCTGTTCATCACTGCACCAACAGAGATGGAAGCTCTGAGTGGATCTTGTTTACAAATCCCATGTAACTTTACTGCTGCTGGACCAGTAAAGTTTGACAGCACAAGACCTGTGTTTGGAGTGTGGATTAAAAATGATCAGAACTTTGGCAATAATCCAAACAATGTGATCTTCAACAGCAGTGGGACAGTTAACATCTATCCAATGAATATTACAGGAAACCTGACACAGAAAAACTGCACCACTCTGTTTTCCAATTTAACCACAAATTATACAAACACATACTACTTCAGAATTATGAACTGGCCGTTCAGATCAACAGCTTTTTGTGATCCTCTTAAAATAACAGTTAAAGGTAAGAGACTTTTGATATTAGTATTAACCAATGAAAAGTCTAATTGTATTATTAACAGGTCAGATGTTACAGAAATATGCCTATTGAAATATTTTCTTTCTCTATTTTCTATTGTTAAACACTACCATTATGTTAATGTTGGAGAAACAGTTTTGTTCTTCTTCGGCTCTTTGAGAGTTAAAAAAAAAGTATATGCTGAGTCCTTTCAGTTTCATGATTTTTGAATGTAAAATTAAATTTTTTTTTTTTTTTTTTGGAAATTCTGTCTTTCCTGTATTATCAGTGTACAAACTATGTTTCATGTGAAACCACAGATTCCCCGTGGAGGCCCAATATTACAATCTCAGGTGATCTGAAGGAGAAGGAGTCTGTCACTATAACCTGCTCAGCTCTCACTCCCTGTCCACACTCCCCTCCTCAACTCACCTGGAATCTCCAACAAGACTCTCACAACAAAATA